GGGGAGACATACACCATGGAGGTATATTTCGAGTCTCGTTGAGTATATACAAAATTTGATTTAATTTTAGTTATTATCTTCACGGCTAAAATATACTTGGTAGCTCTGCCAGTATGATTGATTGATGAAGATTAAGCCACCCAAGAGGTGGCACGGGCATGAGTCTATACCTCTATATATATCCATCTATATCTCTATGTAGGCAGAAGTGAAACACCTTACTTTACTCACCTTACTGGTGTGTAAACCAGTAAGGATTGATTGGTTGATTGATTGATTGATTGACTGTAAGCCAGTGAGGTATTGCGGCGTCCATAATGTCTGTCCGGGACAACACCAACACCAGACCTGCACTACCTCGTCTGACAAAATATTTAACCGGCAAAAAACACCAACACGCTTGGCTCTTTTGTGCCGAATAAAAATAATTTTACATAAAGTGGTTAATATGAAGAAAAACACCTGTCGACTTACGAATACATTACCTTAGGAAAGGTAATATATATATATATATAGTTCTCAGATAAAAAAAAACAGCCTTTAAATTGTTTTGAATAACCAACCACTTGGACTATTCAATACAGAGAGGGTCTCGCTTTTTGCGGGTCGGCGTTCGACATCCAATGGTCCATGTGCTTGGGAACTGTTCCTTCCCTCAGTCATATCCCCAGATTCTCGTCCTCATGTCCCTTCCAAGTGCTACATGACCGTACTGGCTTTGTGCTTCCTCTAGATAATTACTTTACATTGAACATGAATGATAATTGTCGATAAATGCTTGACGACTCAGGATGGAAGAGACTTGCCAATTATTCCTTGGAAGAAATAGTCTCGTACTCATCCGTGGAACAGTCACGTACTCATCACTAGAACAGAAAGTCACCTACCCATCCGTGGAACAAAAGGTAAACATGTGACCATAATCTTTAAACTGAAGAGCTTTCTCTTGTATTTACATTTATGTCTCATTTGTGAAATTCTGTTCTCTCTGTCTCTTAGCTTCTCACTCTGACTGTCTCATCGTCCCTCGGCCTCACAGTACCTCTCTTTCTCCTCTCCAAAGCCGAAACCACAAGAGCATTTATCAGTGATTAACAAAAATTAAAATAAGAGGACAAAAAAAAAGGAGTATGAATAAAATAGTTTGTGTTCCACTCTAGACATATCCTCCTGCGGGGCCTCGCCACCAGACGCAAACTCTACTCCAATTAGGCGGGACCAAAGAGCTAGAGCTCAATCCCCGCAAGCACAACTAGGTGAGTATACATGGCACAAGAGGAAAACACTGAACGGACGCGCTCAGTGGCTCTGGAACCCGTCGAGTAAGAGAGAGAGTACCAGAATAGCTCTACTAGGTCATGCACTCCCAGAGAGGGAAAACCCGGGGATTCAATGAACTATTCGAAGCAGAAAAGGCATATTTTTCAGATTTTTTTTTTAAATCATTTGGAAATTTTTATTTTTCGTTTTTTTTTTAATTTTCGCTTTTGTCTGGGAAATATGTGTGAAATTGAAAAAAAAATATCTGTCAGAGTTTTTATATTTAGTCAGTTGGAGAACAGATTTGTTTCTCGATATGAGAGATGATTCTGGATTTGGGATTGAACGTGTGTGCGTGTGTGTGTGTGTGTGTGTGTGTGTGTGTGTGTGTGTGTGTGTGTGTGTGTGTGTGTGTGTGTGTGTGTGTGTGTGTGTGTGTGTGTGTGTGTGTATCATTTGTATTCACTATCTGTATCTGCAGGATGGAGGTGCTAGCTCTTGGGCCTCGCCTTTATAACGGACGGTTGCCTAATGTACTCACTCTTTACCTATATTCCTCCTATCATATCAACTAATATATCTCTAACAGATATATTCATTGGATGCAGCCCTTAGCAGCTAACTCCCAGGTACCTATTTACTGCTAGGTGAACAGGCGCATCAGGTGATAAAAATACTGCCCATTTGTTTCTGCCTCGACCAGGAAACAAACCCGACCTTTAGGCCTACGACCAGCGAGTGTGGTCCGTTCCGTGTGTGTGTGTACTCACCTATTTGTGCTTGCGGGGGTTGAGCTCTGGCTCTTTGGTCCCGCCTCTCAACTGTTAATCAACAGGTGTACAGATTCCTGAGCCAACTGGGCTGTCATATCTACATTTGAAACTGTGTATGGAGTCAGCCTCCACCACATCACTGCCTAATGCACTCCACCTGTTAACTAACACTGAAAAAGTCCTTTCTATCGTCCCTGTGGCTCATTTGGGAACTCTGTTTCCACCTGTGTCTCCTTGTTCGCGTACCACCAGTGTTGAATAGTTTATCTTTATCTACCTGTCAATTCCTCAGAGAATTTTGTAGGTATTGACCATTTGTCTCCCCGAGTTTTCCTGTCTGCCAACGACGTGAGTTACATTACACGCAGCCGTTCCTCGTAATTCATGCCTCTTAGTTCTGGGACTAGTCTAGTGGCATACCTCTGAACGTTTTCCAGCTTCGTCTTGTGGTTGACAAGGTACAGGCTCCATGCTGGGGCTACCTTGAGGTGCTTCCGGGGCTTAGCGTCCCAGCGGCCCGATCGTCGACCAGGCCGCTTACTTCAGGATTGGTCTTACATATGCGGTGTACAAGGTTCTGAATGATTCCTTACACAGGTTCCTGTGCACCAGCATTGCATACGCCGCTGATGTTATTCTTTTGATGTGGGTTTCAGGAGACAGGTTTGGTGTGATATCAACTCCCAGACCTTTCTCTCTGTCCGTTTCGTGAAGGACTTCATCTCCCATTCGGTATCCAGTGTCTGGCCTCATGTTTCCTCCGCCTAGTTTCATTACCTTACATTTGCTTGGGAAATCGGTAAGGAGGAATGATAAGTGAAGGAGTAAGAAGGAATGAATGAATATTACGGAGCGTCTTTACTGCAGTAGGAGGGGGAGGGGGGGAGGAGGGGGCAAGGAAGAGATGAGGAATAACAGTGCTGATTATTAGGAGATTAGGAAGGAGGAGGATGGTGTGGGGGGGGGGGGAGTAATCCGTGTGGAGAGCAGGAAAAAGAGGAGCACGGGGAGGAAGAAGAAGAGCAAGAGGCAGCAGTGTACGGGTAAAAGACAGATATACGGTGTTCAAGCGCCTACCGAGCCAAGTGTAATTACTTTGGAGGCTGTATATGGAGGCTGTATCCACCACTTCCCTTCTCAGTGCATTCCACTTGTTCAATACAAAAAAAAATAATTCTCTGTATTGTCTCTATATACTAATTTGCCTTGTCTATTTCCCTGAGAATTTTATATGTGGTGATCATATATCCCTTGTTTTTTTTCAGTGAGCTATGGTAAAATTACATTAGTCGTTTCAAGTAACTTATACATTTTAGTTCTGCTGGTAGTATGATGGCTACCCTGTGGGCTCTCCATAACGTTGCTTTGTGTTTAACGTGGTAGGGAAACGGCTGAGAGCCATCGTTGGATGGGGAGGTTATGGGGGAGGGGGGTGAGGAGTAGTAGGGGTTGGGTGTCGGGTTATTGTTGTGATGAACACTGTGGAGGCGATGATAGGTGGCAGAGGCTGATTGAGGAGGTGGTGGGGGGGGAACGGGGGCAGGAAAGATTTCGTCGATGTGGGATAGGGAAGACAGGGGCACAGAAGAGCGGGATTCGTGTAGAAAGGGGCAGAGAGGGGAAGGGGAAAGGGGTGGGTGGGTTGTCTTTGGGGAGAGGAAGCAGAGTGGAGAAGGAAAGAGGGTGTTGGTGTTGAATGGAAGCATAAGACAGGCAGAGAAAAAGGGGTGTTAATATGGGATTATGTCACGGAAGGGAAGTGTATTGCAAGAGTGGGGCGTTAAATGATACAAGTTACTGTTATGGTTATCCCTGAGTGTGTCAAGCTGAAAGTCATTGATTATCTCCTCCTCTCCTCCTCCCTGCACTTCTTGTTCCCTCTGCTGATGCTGCTCTCTTCGCATGGCATATCCCCCATGAAGAAATATTCCTCTGTAACTTGGTACATGTTCAAGTTTGTTCATTTATAAGAATATCTCTTTTATAATATTGTTTGTGAACACTGTTTTCAGCGGCTGAATTTTCCCCTTGCTGTTCTGACCAAGCCTGAAATCTGTATCTGTTTTCCAGAAAAATCCCTGCCATTGCTACTTTATGTTTTACTCTTCTCGTTTGGCTTCGAGTCTTAACACTCTATTGTTTATTTCTTCTATAGTAGCTGAATGATGAGCCTTGCTGCTTTCTGCGAAGTTGCTGCCTACATTGCCACATCCTGCAATGCTCTCTATTTTTTCATATTCACAACTGATGTTTGCCACGAGATAGTCTCTTCAGTATTTCGTTGCAAGTATTTAGAGCTTGGTTGTCACATACTAAATGCTAGATGGGGTATTTTTTAGGTAATGAGCTTGTTTACTCCTTGACTAGCAACAGCACACTTTCAAGTTAGACATTATTTCTCAAATTGCCCCAAGATCCTCCACCATTTCACTCTTAACCAACTCTCATATTTCCTTCAGGATTCTGTGAAGTGCATTTTAATGAATTATTCCTTGTACGTAATCACCCACCATATCACTCGGGAACCCTGCTATGTCTTCTCTCAATTGGGGTTCAACCTGCTTATCCAAACTCCTTCGTGCGTGTGTGAGTGTTCTCACCTAATTGTGTGTGTGTGTTTGTTTTGTCATGGAAGTGAATCTTTATGTATTACTTATTTAGTCAATTGTTTTTTTATATTATTTTGAAGTTGACCAAACCACACACTAGAAAGTGAAGGGACGACGACGTTTCGGTCTGTCCAGGACCATTCTCAAGTCGATTGTCTCACAATCGACTTCAGAATGGTCCAGGACGGACAGAAACGTCGTCGTCCCTTCACTTTCTAGTGTGTGGTTTGGTCAACATATTTCAGCCACGTTATTGTGACTCCTCGTCTGCGTTATTTTTAAGCTTCACAATGAGAGAAATATAACCAAGTGGCCTATACATCTGTGCCTAACCATAATGTTGTTGTTGTATCCTCAGAGAGCGCAGGGGTTGACCGAGGCCTACTAACTGGTGATCCACAACACGGAGAGGCTGGCCACGTCCCACCTCATCACTCCTCCAGCTCTGGTCATACTGTAAGATCGTGTGTATCTTTGTGCCTATAACAACCCGCACAATAGAGATAATTATGTTTGCAAAAAATGCTGTTGTGAAATATTATGTAACGGAAATATGAGCTTCTGTGTACTAATGATAATTGGGATAATTTGGTAAGGGGGGGTTGGGGGAGGTTCCTACTCTGTGCTACGGTAAAAGCGCTCATATTGTTTACTGACAGCATTGTGAGAACGTTGTTAGTTTCGTGTGTGTATATTGCGATGGTTGGTTGGCAAGAACTGAGAAGGAGGAGGAGGTGTTTACCTCACAGTTCTTACTCCCTTATGCAGTTCACAGTGATTTGTAAGAGCACAAATACACTCATTTAAGACACACACACACACACCTTATGCAAGCATTCACATCAACGGTAAATAACAAATAATAAATTAAAGTTAATTAGGTTTAGTGGCCCATGCGAAGCGGCTGCTATTTACACCCAATAAAACTCATAAATATTTCTGACCTACGTTTTAAGCAATCTACGTCTATTATGTTCCCGACAATCGAATACATAAATTTGCAATCCCATTTCCAAACCCATATTTACCCAGCTCTTGTATATATCTACACTTCCCTTAAATACCCGGCTCTTGTATATATCCATTGTTTTGTGTTCGATTTTTGTTAATATATTCAAAACATGATTATTATTATTATTATTATTATTATTATTAATATCCTCATTGTTATTCAGTTTCATCTATTTGAATTCTCTAATCATTTCACTGTGGCTCTTCACATTTTCTAAACAATAACTAATTATTTTTCTCTTGTTACCTGTTTCTAAATTAATTTGTAAAGATCATTTTAACACATATCCCAAAAAAGCTTAGTTGATTTATAAGGGGCCAGAACTGAAATTCAAATGATCCATGGCAGTCATTTTCGTCTGAAAGCTGCATTAAGAAGGATTTTAAACATTATTTTTCCAAAGTAATAATGGAAAGCATTTTAAAGACGATGTTTATGAATAATGGGAAGGTCAAATAACTGTAGCCACACGTGTTTAATTGCCGTAAACCTTCACATGTACGTGGAAACTGGTCATTAGGTAGCAACACCAAGGTACTCCCAACGTTGATATCATCAGCTTATGCCTCACCATAGCTATAGCCCTGCTGATGATATCTGCTTCTCCTTCAGGATAGCTGTAGTAGTGGCAGCACCCAGCTGACGAGAGCGTCAACCTCGCTCACGCGGGATTTAACCTCAGCAGCGGGCATCCCTCCTCCTAGTGTAAACACCTCAGGAGGTTCCAATCCGTTCGCCATCCTACAACCCCTGCCTTCCCCAGCTGGCCCCCAGGCCGCGCACCACACAGGGGCGCGGGGCGGCGGAGGCACCGGGGTTCAGGGACAACAAGACATGGCTCTTCAAGATCTACCAGCATATGAGTCCAGGTCGCTTCTGGCTACTTGTGCTCGGGGAGAGTCTTGCTACACCTCCATCTAGTCGCACTGTGAGTCTGGCTTGTGCGTGCGTGCGTGTGTGTGTGTGTGTGTGTGTGTGTGTGTGCGTGCGTGTGTGTGTGTGTGTGTGTGTGTGTGTGTGTGTGTGTGTGTGTGTGTGCGTGCGTGTGTGTGTGTGTGTGTGTGTGTGTGTGTGTGTGGTGTGTGTGCGTGCGTGTGTGTGTGTGTGTGTGTGTGTGTGGTGTG